CAAAGTTGATTCAATTTCTTCAGTGAATCACTTACATGCTCTGTGTTACATGTCGAGCTTAGTTCGATACGTAATAGCTGATTAAACACAGTCCATGCAAGTTGTTTAAATCTTCAGTCTCATTCGAAATCATTTAATCCATTCAACGTGAAATCATCAATCAATTTGCATGCTTTCTTTATTAAAATTAAAGGTCAGATACTTAGGTATGAAAACAGAATGCACTACGGACGAATCTCAAATGAATTAAAAAGACATCTGAATGCTTGAGTTTGATGTTTTAAATGAAAGTGGGTTCTTATATTATTCAGTTGTAGATTGTGTTGTTTCCTTTTCTCACATTCATTTCGCTTAAATTGATATCTCATCGATCCGACACTTCTTTTTGGACTGAGTGAATCAAACTGAACAAATGTGCAGCAATGAGCTATGTTCTGAGTGGAGTCAGTTTGAACTTGTAAAGCCTACAAAATATCATATCATATTTTTTATCCTACAATACTTTACTAGCACTTATTTGGTTCATACTTGATTCGACTGTATCTCTGGAATCATATTCGTATGATTATGATCTCCGAATCCAGACACTTTCTGAAAGAGCTGAATATTGAACGACCATGAACAGTCCGCAAGTACACAATGTTTTACTCGAACTTAAATACCTAGAAAATCAAGTCTACATATATTCACTTCGGTCTGCTGTCCGAATCGATGAATAACTGACTCTCAGAAAATGATTATTTTCGGCTATTGTCAGATAGATATTAAATTACTCTTACTCAGTCAAAAAATCATTGGACAAATTTGAGCGGACGTGAAATAACTTTACCGAAGTCAGTTGATTGAAAAGTTCATTATACCATTGAAGCGACATTATTCCTTGAAACATCTCCATTTCATGTAGATGTCGGAATGAAATTGATAACTTGTGTGAAAAGGTATTCCGGGTTACAACGTACATTAAATAAAAGAGATGGATTTTCATTTCACAGATATTTCATTATCTATTTTCGTATTTTCAATAATTCAGAGGGATTATTCACTGTCAAATGATCGCATGAAGGAGAAGATAATGGTACACGTAAGTCAACACATATAAGACCTGCACACTTACACCTTCACGGATTGTAATCACTAAATATTCGTGAGATTCAAATCTCCTTAGAAACTGAAAATGTTGGAAGTTCTTACATTTTTGAAAAACGATGATTGATATGTATGTGAAATCCACTCACCATTTGAATACATTGAATTCGACTTGAAGATCAGTTAACATGAACTGGTAATGATTAGATCTGAAAAGTCAAAAATTGATCACCATAGATAAACCAGGTCAAAATCTCATTTTGCCTGTTGGGAAACAAATGAGGAGATTCATTTTTGTTTAAAAGCTACGATAAACCTTGGCGGAAAATCGTTGCTTCAAAAAAAAAACGAATCGTATTATATGTTTGTCACAAAGCCATTCCTATGCACATCATATTCATCTACACTTCCATTCATCACATAGTCATTCCTGTATATATGACTCATTCATATTGAGTAGTCGTTGAGATTACACATTCAAATCTATTCGTCTCTCATCCACAACAAACAAACACTGTGGTCACAGTTACTTGATCGAGTTAAATATCCATATGTTAGGTGATCAATAAGATTCTCAATTTGCATTTGTGATTAAACGCTCCACAACTTATGTTATGTATACTTGGAGTCGATTGTTTCAAGGAAAATTATAGAAACTATTACGTACGTGCAAATACCTTTGCAGTATTAGACCTTCAATGATTCATTGGTAATACAATAGTAATATAGATTCAGAAACTGGGCATTTAACATTAGGTTGGAAAAATGCATGCTCGTTTCATTCACATGAAGTTCACTTCAATGTTTTGAGATGCAAAGCTAAATAGCTACTGCATAAGGAAAGTGCCTGTACCCGTAGATCGGTTCCAGAAGGATCTTGGTGTGACCGATGTCCTCAACTTAAGACCACCGATCGTCGCCGTACGGTTGCAGCTAAGACGTTTACAACACTGTGGGTTTTAAGACGGACATTCACCAAGTTAGATACTAACATGATCACCACAGTATACACAACCTTCGTGAGAAATAAGCCTGAATAATGGATTGACGCTGTTGGTTCTTATTTAAAAGTTGACCTGCAAAAAATGCTGAGTGCAGTTACCCGTGCGATTCCAGAACTCCGATGTTTACAACAAAAAGAGAGGATTGAAATACAAGACCTCTTTACTGTGTCTTATTGTAGACGGAGATGTGACCTGATTTCGATGCACAGAATACAAAGAAATGATTTTGGACCCAAAATAATTTATCATTTGCTTCCCACTAGATGTGTTCATCTCAGAGAACAAAGTGAACGTGTAGTAGAGTCAAGAACGAGCAAAATATACGTGGCATACAGGTTTTCACACATTCATATTCTGAAGTTTTCGATGAATAAATGGAAACAGTGTGCCTTACAACTGACCAGAATCCTCGGCATTAACAAACGAGCCTGCTACGCTTTCCTCAAAAACGTACTACTAAATCATGTATTGTGTACTAATTTCGAGTGCTGGGAAGATAAACATTTCATGAAAACGTCGATAACTCCACCACGTTACATAGTCATTCTGATCTGATGCGAATACAGATATTAGAGTAATTGCAAAGCCAGTCACGGAGTTGACCACAAGTTTGGTACATGTTTATCCAGTGCTAAATTGCACTCACATAATTCCTTTGTATTTCGTAATGATGAATGTCTAAAATGTTGTACAATTGGTTACATTCGGTCAGTCTGTAGAACTACATTTAGTATTGACACTAATGAAGATAAACACTGTAGTTCGGATTTTATTAAATTGTGAGATTCTAGTGATAACTTATCTTTTACAACACTTCGGAAAATAATGTTCATACTCAGTAGCGACTATATACCTCCCTTGATTAATTCCATGACTGTTATGTTGAGATAGAAAGTATATAGTAATACTTCAGTCCAGAATTGAATGACGCTTTGTTTGCCTTATATAAACCTGAAAGCAAACGTCAACTGGAACAAAACTTTGTTCCACGTGACATTTGTTGAGGAAGCCGAAGCGATCCCCATCCTAAAAAAAATTAATGCAGCAAAATAAATACGAGAAAAAACATTTCAGAAGAATCAAATCCTGAATATGAATCGAATGCTTATCGGAAATCTGGTGCGATTTTGTTAGATGCTGATTCTTGAATGACATTCTTACTAAATTGGAGGAATAACATTTCAGAAGAATCAAATCTTGAAGATGTCATGTTAAATGCTACTTGTGCTCATCATATTTGTTTTTTTGGTGGGAAAGTCAATAATTATTTATTTATTTTCCTCAACACATAAACATTGATACAACAAGGCACAGAGTATATATGCGCCACATAAATCACTCGATCTGTGTGAAGGCTAGGCTATATTCCGTTTGCTGTGGAGCGTTCGACCTAAAGGTGCAATCCACAAGGCGGTGAAGCAACGTGAGAAATTCAGTTTCATGGTAGCCGCTGACTCATAATTGATTCACACGTCATTTATTCACTCCGAATCTCAGAGCCTATGTGCACCATTGATTAGTACTCAGGATTTTCCGATTTCGCTTATGTGGCTACTCCATATCCAACAACTCTCCTCACTCTCGGCCGTATCATGGCACTTAGGGGCTCCTAATGTGGGAAACCTGAAACAAGTTCAAAATCAATTTCAACCTAAAATTTGATCGGATGATTCAATATCAAATGTTGTATATAAAATATTATTTCATGGAGAAAACAGTGTTTGAAGAGCTATGCTTCGAATTGCAGACATCAATGATATAATTATACACATTGGCATATTATTCAGATACGCTTCCAGAAACCAGATGACTGTGTCACACAGAGTCTACATGCAAAACATAGCTGAACAAATGAACGATAAACTTATGGAGAAGTTCAGTCCATTAGAGAAATTCGGACTCCTATTTAAACTGTGATGGCTTTGATAATTTTACGAATTAATGGTTTCTTCGTACTTGATGGCCTATGATTTCGAGTTTTCAAAAACAACAAGTTCGTGTGTGTTCATTCAGTTTCTCACAGCACAATTCAGAACAATGAAACTGAACATCTTCAGTGACAACCGTGAAGTATGTGTGCTCCGAAAACTGCAATTCATTGTGCAACGCTGGATACTTATTTTTCAACAGCACTTTGCACACCAAACTATCAACTCAGTAGCGGTATCCTTTGTGAAGCTGAGAAAGACAACTCCGTTTAAGCTCGTTTGGAGGAATAAGTTTTGAGTGAAACTGATGGCCGTTTATTGCTTCTGTCAACAATAGAAGTTTGGGAAGAATCACAATCAGTCTAGATAACACCGAATTAACCTTGGTTTGTCACTCATCATTAACATAAGAATGAATAATGAAGTAACGAAGGATGACGATGGACATTCACAACAAACTCATTGTTGATTGCAATTAACACAAAATCACGTAAACACATGACTATTAATTCCGAAAAAGTAGTTGTCAAACTCTTGTAAGAAAAGTCAGCTTCTAATGAATAAAGACAATGACGTAAATATTATAAATCATGTTTGATATTTAATTAACAAGAATACATCGGCTATAACATAAACAAGCACAAAATGTACATAGTTCCGTGAAGAAAAGTTCAAACCATTAAAATGAATAACTAAATCTAAAACTGTTCATTGAAATACGAAAAAAAAAGCGGAATTGGTCCGAATATTCGAATCTAGTTATGAGACTTTGTTGAGAGTCATTCACTATTTCTCCTTCCTTTATGCTACCATCTACAAATAACACAACTGATGCATGCAGCAAAGAAGAAGACGACGGAAGGAATAACAATATACAGATACCAAAGTGATTTGTTCTGTTCACTTTCTTGAGTTATTTCAGTGGTCGCATTCTATAGAAAAATAAAACAGTAGCATTTATCACTAACTATCAAATATTTACCGAGTATTGATCATTTCCATTGGTAATTTCCGTGACGTTTCCTCCAACCTGAACTTCAGGGATCCCAAATGTTGTTCCGTTTTGATTGACGGGTGTCGATGTACTCACATCGTTAACATCCGGGCTCTTTTGGATAAACAAAACAGTAGCATTTATTATTAACTATCAAATATTTACCGAGTATTGTTCATTTCCATTGGTAGTTTGCTTGACGTTTCCTCCAACCTGAACTTCAGGGATCCCAAATGTTGTTCCGTTTTGATTGACGGGTGTCGATGTACTCACATCGTTAACATCCGGGCTCTTTTGGATAAACAAAACAGTAGCATTCATTAAAAAGCATGAAATACCCTTAGACTAATTCATTACGCTTTACTGTCAATAAGGGTAATAAAATACAATTCAACAAACAGTAACAAAATGTGCATTTGTACAATCATTCAGAACATCTAACACCGATTCGACATACCTTAAAATGGCAATCATTCACTTTAAAGAAATGATTATCCTGATGATGACTGTCGATGCACGTGTTCCATTTCTCACACCAAATACATTTTACATTCGATGTTGTTGCTTTTCGACATGCTTCAAATGAATTGTGTATTGGACAAATTGCTGTAAAAGTAATAAGGTGATTATATAATTCGAATACTTAAACAGAACTAAAGAGAATCACAATACATGGAACTATAACTAAATGACATGATAGTGATTTCAGTGTTAAGTGACTATTTCATTCACTAGAGAGTTGCTATCACAGTGCGTAATGCAATACTCAGTATACATTCAATTTCATTAACGTTTCACAACGGAATGTTTAGAGTGAATGAAACAAGTTAGAATATCAATTATGAACGATGAATTCCGACTGACAAACTTGACAGAATTCAATGACTGTTTACATTCAGATGTAAGCACAATGCTGTCACTGGTTTCAGCAAAGTATGTGGCCGCATTCTGGTCTGTGTGCTGTCGGTTAATGCAACAGACTAGTTGGATCAACGAAAATTCATCGATAATAAAGACAATATTTTATGCAATGAATATTGAAGGTGAATTGATCATTGGATAATGGAATGATTCTCTCAGTGGTGGAAATGTTGTTTCAGTAGCCTAACACATGGTGAACTGAAATCTGTTTTAATTTACTGAGTGTTCATATTCAATTTCGTATTGTTAAATACGTCAATAATTCTGAGACTGTCTATGATGAATATAAGTTTGGTGACGTCACCTTTCTTCATCTTCATTTTATCGGATATGGTTAAGCAAAGTTGTTGTCAAAACTGTTAACAGCTCAATCTTAGACCATTTAGTCCAAACAGGACATACAGCCAACATCGAGCAATCTTTTGCAATAGTTTACCGTGTCAACAGCAGTCAACCTAATTCCGTCAGACTGCGAATCCTACAGACGGCTGAAGCAATTGCTATTCGGATCAAAAAGCCAGAGCTTTGTATCCAAAAGAAGTATGTTCAGCCACTCCTTTTACCCTGGCCAACTAGCTAATAATCAATCTTAAAATATGGTGACGTAATCTGATTAATGTTCATTTTATGTCCCAAACTTATTATTATTATTATTATTATTATTACTGCTATTATTATTATTATTATTATTATTATTATTATTATTATTATTATTGTCTTTACACTTGATAACCCCTTTTTGATGAATTTATTCAATATCCACCCCTGAATCGACTATATTTGACCTAATTATTTTACATATTACGTAATTTCCGATCTGTAATCACAATATTCTCTCTCTCTGTTACCCCATGTTGACCATATTTATTCTGATAATTTATCTCACAATTTCATTTCGCTTATAAACTGATTCAAGTTAACAACTTCATATTAGTCAGCCCCAACATTAACAATTTTATTTTATATAAAAAACAATTCCTGATTCACATATTGCAATTTCCAAATGATGATGTATTTTGCCTTAAATTTGGCCAATTTTATGGATTATTAATCTGGATTTATAATTGTAGAACCTGATGAGAAATTATTGAAAAGAATATTCTTCGTTCATACAATTGTGTTCTTATCGGATATGTATGACAAAGCAGAGATTTTGGAAAGTAGCCAACCGTTTTGATGTTGAATCGCAATGACATTGAATGTTCTTGTGATTTCAATGCCCCAGAAAAATTCGATATCACATGTACCAAAAAGGAAAAACAGAAGCTGCCTGGTCAATCCACAATTAAATAACTGTTACCTAATCTTTTTCCAGATTACTATCAACTCATACATCGTTTTGTGAGTTTGTCCACAAGACTTGAATATCATTCTTGATATTTAAAAGTCAATCGACGTGTAGTTACTAATGATAAGTGAAAGGTATTTTGAGACGGATGGCTGGATGTCATTTAGTAGCCGACTGCAGTCACAAATGAAATTTCCAGTGTGTTGAAATAAAAAGGATGTATTCACGTGTGAATATAGTAAATGATGATAAATAAGGTTTAACATACTGCCAATGACTTCATACTCCACTAACGTGCCAGTTTTGATCCATTTTGAAGGAACAGATATCTCATGTTCTGTCTTACCTTGTGTGACAAATTGAAGAGAAAAAACCTAACATTTAGCAACAACTGAAAAATTCAAGTTAACCCTTTAAACATTTTTTCACGTTTCAGCTTACAAATAAACAACATGAAAGCATCAAATGAAAAACGAATGATGACTAGCGTTCCTTCTTATTTAAAAAGTCTCAACTGGATATTGCTGCATCTCGGCGTTGATGTTTACTCGTGGACAAGATCTGAGAACCATTCAGTTCAAACGTCAAACGGATATTCCCTCAACTATTCAGTCCAAACACCTACTGGTTTGTACGAAGCGTGAAAGGTTATTTCATTCCTGCTCTGTTAACTTAATCCTATCTTCGATATTTATGACGGCAGTCGATTCCACTGCTAACCACCATCCATCTTTGCCTACAATGCTTGTGATCAAAGAAAACATCGAAGCAATCATCACAGAAAGCGCATGAATCAATAAGAGACAGGTGGGAGAACTCCAACGAGCAATATAGAAATGACAAATTTCATCATTTTTTACTGACTCTGTTATGCACTTCAATGGAACAATATGTATCACTTGACCAAATATTTGGTGCATGTTCTCACATGTGATCATGTAACACTGTATTCCGCTCATTCACTCAGCTTGAAAACTGAGCTTTATATTTCATCAACACATAAGATCGAGCATTGTGTGCAGAAAACATTAGCTTCAGGTGCTACTTATTCATCACGCGTGACGATATTTTATCTGCCTAATTTCATCGTTCATATATGTCTACCTCTTTCAGTTTATCGATCTCCAAAAGTACTAAACATTTCTTATTAACCATCAAAACTTTCGCGATAAAAAAACATTCATACACCTTAGTTACCTTACTCCAGAAAGTCGGTCATATTAGCCTCAGTAAACAGATAATTGATCATAGACGTCACAGTGCGTCAAACTGTTAACATCATTCTTTGCAAAATTTCTTACCTGTTTTACATTGAAAGAATCCACGGATTCCGCACACTGTAATGTTTGAAATTTCAAAAATATTCTGAAAGAGACATGGAACGAGGATTAGTCAGCACACAACCTTTTATATCAAAACAAATTGAACGCCAGCTGTCAACTTCAGTCAAGTTTGATGACTTATCAACCTAACATGAAATATTTTGACACACTGTGAGATGAAAATCTACGTCAGTTGTAAAGAAATGTGACTGTTAACAGCTTCATGGAAACTGTGCTCAAATGATACATTATTGAATGTTCCGAAAAGCCTACCATTTGAAGATGAAATACAGGTTGACAGAATACGACACATTACATACACTATACTGACATACACTGGGTAGTAGTGTTTGACATGAACACATCATTGTTACAACTGATGTCACTTCACTTCTATTTACTCACATTTTAACAAATGCTAGAGTGAGTTGTGTCATTAATAGAATAATTACAAAGTCAAGTAGTTTGTTTACACATCACAAAATGTTGATCTTTTTCCATTGTGTTCAGTGTAGCTTAATACACATTCGACAGTATTCATACGCATGAAATAGTAGAATGATCTCAAGTACTTGAAACAAAACTAAATGTACATTCAGTTTATAACTTACGTTCTCATAATAGATAGATATCTTCCCATTCGGATATAACAGATTAGTTACTATGGGTGTATTCTCTACAATTAAAAGACAAACGATACTTAGAATTTGAAAGATAGGTGTAACACAGCATATGCTCACTCACAAAGTGATCAAATTTAGTGTATAATTACTGAGTTGTGTCAAATGCTTTCTTCAGTCGGATTCGCACTCAAAACATTGAACTAAACTTCATTTGAATGAAACGAGCATGCATCCTTCCAAACTAGTGTGAAATGCTGAGTTTCTGAATCTGCATTACTATTGAATCACTGAAGGTGAAATACTGCATATATATTCGCACATACGCAATATTTTCTATAATTTTCCTTGTGACAATCGACTCCAAGTACGTATGATATAAGTTGTGGAGCGTTTATTCACACATACAACTTGAGAATCTCACTGATCACCTAATATATGGATATTTAAATCGATCAACTAACTCTGACTACAGTGTTTGTTTGTTGTAGATGAGAGTCGAATAGATTTGAATGTGTAATCTCAACGACTTCTCAATGTGGAAGGATATATAGATATATAGGAATGATTATGTGATGAATGGAAGTGTAGATGAATATGATGTGCACAGGAGTGGTTTTGTGACGAACATATAACAGGTTTTCAAACAGGCAATGTGCATCAAGTCCCAATCAATTTGATCAAACGGTGAATGGATTTCACATTTGCTTCAACCCTCATTTTCTAGAAAAGTAACAAAGTTTTACATGTCAATTTTCTGAAAACTGAATTGCACAAACAGTGTGAGATCAAAAAGAGTAAAGAAGTAATTGTGCAAAGTTCACTTGTCATGAATCATGTTTACCTTTATCTTCTCCTTCAAGAGACCATCTGGCAGCGAATAATCCCTCTGAATTATTGAAAATAAAAGTAGATAATGAAATTTGTGTAAAATGATAATCCATCTCTTTTATTAAATGTACGTTTTAACATGGACTACCTCTGCATACAAGTTATCAGATTCATTTCAGCATTTACATGAAACGGTGTGGTGAAATGGTCGATCATCGCCTATGAGGAAGGTTCAAGGATTATTGTCACTTCAACGATATGATGAACATTTCAATCTCTCTAAGTGAGAATGTTACACTTCTGTTAATTTTTCTCAAACGATTTCGACTGAGTAATTGTCTTTTGATATTTGTTCGATGCTAGATTTTGTTAATCGTCAATTTATATAACTGACCGAGATATACGGATGTAAACTTGATATTCTAGGTGTTCTAGTTTGAGTAAAGAATCTTGCACTAGTCGACTGTTCACGTTCGTTCATTAGTCCGCTGTGTCAGAAAGTGTTTGAATTCGAAAATTGTATGAATATGAATATGATTAAAGAGATACAGTTGAATATACGATGGTTGACAGACAGCGACTCAGAGACATTAAACTTTTAGGAATCAAGTAAGTACTAGAAAAGTATTTTAGGGCATCCAACTGATTTATGTCAGAACATCGATTATTACTGAACATTTGTTTAGTTTGATTCACTCACTTTACTGAGAATTGTCGTATCGATGAGTTTCCATATGTGCAAAATGTATTTGAGAACAGTAAATAAAACAAACTGCAACTGAATAATTCAAGAAACTCACTCTCATTCAAAAGATGACGTGACAAATCTCTTCCTAAATAATTCGACATTTGACCAATTTCATCGTTGTTTTTAAATATACCTAAAACACCTATAATTTTGATAATGAAAACATACAATGTGATTGATAATTTCACATGGAATGAATAAAATACAAATTGCATAAGTTCGACATGTAACACGGAGCATGTAAGTGATTCATTGAAGAGATCGGCGCGTCATAAGGAGCATGCAACTGATTCATTGAAGAAATTGAATCCACTATGATTCATGCGATTAATTGGTGATCAAGTAAATTCAATAACAATTTTAATTCAAAGAAAATTATGGACTTACCTCTAGGCCAAATTTTAAATTTATTGACTTCACTTTCAAAAAATTTTAACGGGAATTCTGGTTTAATAGGCTAAAAGGTGTAAATAAGTGGATAGCGCCTCAACTACAAAATGTAACCAACTCACTTTAGTCGTCTTGTACTCATTAAAACTGCCATGCACATTTGGACGAGGCTGATTGAGATTAATGGTTTGTGAGTAATAATAATGGTGAGACTGTATATGTCTATTAGAATCTGACTGATTACTTACATATCGATATGATTCATTCTTAAAAATCACTTGTTCAAAGTTCTTCCACTTCGGCTGTTTACAAATTTCATCACAGTTACACAACACGGAAAATACGTTCAAGATCATAGAAATTCGTATGAACAGATTATATGGAGAATTGAATCTGAAATGGTTCAAGTGAATAAAAGAACGTTATCTCATGGAATCAAATTTCAATTTGCACGATACAGTCATTTACCTCGCGTGTTCAGCTAACACTCACCTCATCATCTTGTTCAAAGCAGTTAATGAAATTTCACTAAAAATTGTCTGGTTTATATAGATTTTATGAGTGATTGATTGTTTTATTCTGATTTGATGATTCAAAGTGACCATGAAGGTCAAATTTCGTTCATTATGTTCATTATTGACGGAAAACATTTAGTGCACGGCCATTTTTGTATTTTTTTTTTCGAGTGAAATTTTTTTTCGTCCCATTGGAAAAAATTTACATCCCCATCTTTCAATAATTTTCATTCTGTTTCGTCCAATCAACTAACTAGTTTTGAGTTCGTTATAATTGGTCATTTATTTCTCTAAATCGATATAAAATATGAGGACTTGACGACAGAGCACATTTTCTTACAGTTATGGACCGTAGTAGCGTGCGGAGTACAGTCTCCGTCGTTCATCACGTTGTCACAGAAACCGATAACCTATTCTTGAGCACATTGTGTCTCGTAGCGTTCCAATCTCTTGAAGCGTTGAAGAGCGCCATTAGAACGTATGAAAGAGCCACGTACTGCCATTATGTGGTGAGGGATTCTCATTTCCATAGAGATCGCAAGCCGTATATTATATTCGTATGTTGGAGAAATGGCCGTAGAACACCTAGCGGTTCCTCGCAGCCGAGTAGTCGAACGAGGTAATTTGATTAGTGTTATTATAATTTTTCATTAAGGACTACCGTGAACACTCAATGTCTTTCCTTCATATTTTGTAAGTTATCAACTATCAAAATAACCTCAATATGGATGCAACGTTAAGGAATGACGAGGGGGAAATCGGTTCGATGAACTCAGAGGAGTTCACTGAACGAAATGACGACAATGACGGAAGCGCATATGACAACAGACTTTGTGATATTTGCAATCTTGTGCAACCGCCACATGAAACTGCTGATGTAATTGCCTGGATTTTTTTGTCCATGCGAAGCAATGCTTCATTTATTTTGTGCCTACGACCCATCACCAAACGTCCATGGAATCCACTGTCCCATGTGCGGCGCTATAACGGAGTCATAGCAACTTTTTTGTTCATGAAATTCGGAATTGTTAAGAGAACGAGTAAAGGCCCTTTTCAGGGCCACCCACAATTTGATTTAAATTCTTTTGTTTCAATTTCTTATTTCCATACCAAAGGTCAATTGGTGAAACCATCAATATTCATTTAAGATTAATAGTCATTATGTGATTATCGTCCACGTATTCGTAAACGCTTTTTAAGCTTTATCAAATATAGGGTTTAAGTAAACGATTTCGTATAGGAAATGTCATCTAATGAACATTCATCTGTCTAAGAATAGTACATGCAAAACTGGTTCAGCATGTTTCAGTGTTTTGTCATATAGTTACGATAGGCGAATGTAGTACTACCAGTTCACTAGTACAACGACATCATTTCTATAGGAAAGGTCAACTGAACCAACAATGATGAATTCTAATTAAGCCTTAGTGATTAAGCAATATAATCAATTGAGATTTATAGAAATTTCGTGGATTAGATTATTTAAAGAGGATTTTATAAAACGTATAAATGTATCACTTTGTTCGTATTAAGCTGTGTAATTGAGAGAGAGACACTTATTTCCTCAGACGTAGGCTTGTTCTTTTATACTTAATGTAACTAATATTTCAAATACCTGTCAAAAATTGTTATTCAACAATATAGAATATTCTGTGGGGATTTTTAAACTGTAAATATGCTGTTGACATTACGTGCAAAACATTGTTAAGCTCAATTGACGAGCACAATAATCTATTCATCACATGACTATTTACATAGACAAGTATT